AAATCCAAAATTTGCAAATCCTGTGAGATCTGGGAGAAGAAGGAGGGGACCGCAGAGTACGAGGAATGGAAGGAAACTCATCATGACAAGTGCGAACGAAATCACCAAGGGTCATCGGGAAAAATGGAGGTGGATGCTGTAATCGAGATGTTCCAGCGGTCCGAAAGTCTACACGCATCGAAATACAGAAAATACATCGGAAACGGTGACAGCAAGACCTTTAAAGGTATTATTGACAGCCAGCCATACGAAGATTTGATCGTGCAAAAGAAAGAGTGTATCGACCACGTGCAAAAGCGTATGGGGAAACATCTTCGGTCACTCGTTAAAAACACGAAAGGGCTCGGCGGAAAGGGGAAGTTGCAGGAAAACTCATTGACGAGCTGACGATGTACTATGGATTAGCTATTCGGAGGAATTCTTCATCACTCGAAGACATGAAACGAGAAATCTGGGCAACTTTAAATCATAAGATATCGACTAACGACATACCGCAGCACAGCAAATGTCCAGTAGGCCCGGATTCCTGGTGTTCCTGGCAGAAGGCGAAAGCGACCGGTGAGCTGGAGGACTACAATCACAAGCCTGCTATGAAGAAGGACATTTTTGTCGCTCTCAAACCGGTTTACACAGAGTTGTCCCGAGATGACTTGCTGCAAAGGTGCCTCGGCGGGTTTACTCAGAACGCGAACGAGTCTTTCAGTGCAACTCTGTGGTAAATGGCGCCGAAAACTGTTCACAGCAGGAAGTCGGTGGTGGACATCGCAGCTGATATTGCTGCGTGCAATTTCAATGATGGGATGATGGGTATCATGGAAATAATGCAAGTACTAAATCTGGAAATCGGCCCGACCTGCTACAACTTCTGCCTGGCTGCGCCTCACGGATACAGCAAAAGAAGCCCGGAGATGCAGTTTGGCGACCCGAAAACACAAGGACCTCTTGGATGACAACACAGAAGGGCAAATGTATGGAGCTGGCATCGCCGATTAAAGGTAAATATCACTTTTCCACGAGCGAGAAACAAAATTTGGATAACTTACGTTTATAGCTGCCTATTTGCCATTCCAATGCGTAGGCCAGCAAAAGAATTTTCTCAAGGGTGACCTCCAGAAACTTACCCGTCATAGGTCTAAATTCTTCATTATTGGTGATTTTAATGCAAAACACCGCTCATGGAATAATGCTCAAAGCAATTCCAATGGTAATATTCTGTTTGATGATTGTTCTGCAGGTTATTACACTATTCAATATCCAAACAGTCCAACATGCTTTTCTTCTGCAAGAAATCCCTGAACTATTGATTTGGTCTTAACTGATTCATGTCAACTTTGTAGCCAATTGGTTACCCATGCTGACTTCGGTTCTGATCACTTTCCAGTAACTTTTGAAATATCCCAAGAAATAATTTCTAATCCCAACAGCTCTACTTTCAATTACCATAGGGCTGATTGGGAGCAATATCGAACATTTATGGAATATAACTTCGATCCAAACATTCCTTTGCAAACCAAAGATGAAACTAATTATGCTCTTGAATCTCTGACTACTTCTATAGATGAAGCAAGAGCTGCCTCAGTACCAAAATGCGAGGTGAAATTCGATTCAATTATAATAGACGACGATCTTCAGCTCTTGATCCGTCTTAAAAATGTCCGTAGGAGACAATATCAAAGAACACGTGATCCTGCCATGAAAGTTATCTGGCGGTATTTACAAAAACAAATTAAAAAACCATTCTCTGTCCTGAGGAACAAAACTTTTGAAAATAATGTTTCTAAATTAGACCCGAGTTCCAAACTGAAAAAACCTCAAAAGCCTATTCCAGCGCTTAAAGAAGGTGGTAAAATTTTGATCACAAATTTGGAAAAATCTCAGAAACTTGCTAAGCAATTCGAGAGTTCCCATAATTTCAGTTTGGGTCTTACTAGTCCTATTGAGAATCAGGTCGCTCGGGATTTTCTGAATATTTTCTCTCGGGAAAATATTTTTGATGATTCCTGGGGGACTGATTTGAACGAAGTAAGGTGTATAACTAAAAAGTTTCAAAATATGAAAGCTCCAGGTGATGATGGAATTTTCTATATCCTCATCAAAAAACTCCCAGAGAGTACCTTGTCTTTCTTGGTAAAATTATTTAACAGATGTTTCCATTTGGCATACTTTCCTGATAAATGGAAAAATGCAAAAGTTGTTCCAATTTTGAAGCCGGATAAAAATCCAGCTGAAGCTTCTAGCTACCGCCCAATAAGTTTGCTTTCTTCAATAAGTAAACTTTTTGAAAAGAAAATTTTGAATAGAATGATGCTTCACATCAATACGAACTCAATTTTTGCAGATGAGCAGTTTGGATTTCGCCATGGGCATTCAACTACTCATCAACTCTTAAGAGTTACCAATTTAATTCGTTCAAACAAATCTGAAGGCCACTCAACTGGAGTTGCTCTTCTAGACATAGAAAAAGCATTCGACAGTGTTTGGCATGAAGGTTTGATTGCTAAATTGAAAAAGTTTAATTTTCCACTTTATATTATGAAATTAGTTCAAAATTATTTAACTGACAGAACTCTGCAGGTAAATTATCAAAATTCCAAATCTAATAAACTACCTGTTAGAGCAGGAGTTCCTCAGGGTAGCATTCTTGGGTCTATATTGTATAACAATTTCACTTCGGACCTCCCTGATTTGCCTCAACCCACAAATCTTTGTTCGCTGATGACACAGGCATTTCCGCTAAAGGAAGAAGTCTTCGTGTTATTTGCAGCAGACTGCAGAAAAGTTTAGATATTTTCTCTTCTTATTTACAAAAATGGAAGATTTCTCCCAACGCTTACAAAACTCAACTAATAATATTTCCACATAAGCCTAGAGCTTCGTTTTTGAAACCTAGTAGTAGTCACATAGTCACTATGAACGGAGTTCCAATTTTCTGGTCAAACCAAGTGAAATATCTTGGATTAATACTTGACCAAAAATTAACTTTTAAAGATCACATTGAGGGCATTCAAGCCAAATGCAACAAATATATAAAATGTTTGTATCCTCTTATAAACAGGAAATCCAAACATTGCCTGACGAATAAACTTCTAATATTTAAACAAGTTTTTAGACCGGCCATGCTTTACGCTGTGCCAATATGGTCTAGTTGTTGCACTACCAGGAAAAAAGCACTTCAAAGGATTCAGAACAAAGTTCTGAAAATGATTTTGAAGTTGCCTCCCTGGTACAGTACTACCGAGGTACATAGAATTTTGAATGTTGAGACTTTAAAACTAATGTCCAACAAAATAATGAATAATTTCAGGCAAAAATCGTTGCAATCCTCAATTGCAACGATTAATTCCCTTTATACTTAGATAAGATTTAGTTTTAGTTTTTAGTTTTAAGATATCAATTGTTATACTGACATGCAGGTTTAAAAAACCTGTTTAAAATACTGAATTGCCAAGACAGGAACAATGTAAAAATACTTAGATATATATCATAACAATTAAGGCTGGTAAGTTACTGTAGTAACTGGAGCACCTAGGTTAAAATGAAATGTAATTTATTTTGAATGTGAAACAAATAAAAAGTTAAAAAAAAAACTTTTCCACGAGAAAAAAATGAAATTTTATCTTTAAACGTATTTATCTCGAAACGGGGTTTTTCAAACTGGCGTGGGAAATAACTCTAACCAGTTATCATCATTATAACTTTATGACGAAGCAATATTTTATGATTTTTTTTTTCGAGAACTTCGAGAAACAACAACATGATCATGCTAGGTCTGTAAAATCTGCAACTTATTACCTCTTTTTCTGATTGTTTTATTCTGAGCTGTCCCCTTAAGATATCTAGGTGGTTTATAGACAGTCTTTTTTAAACTAATTGTCAATTTAATAGGATTCAAAACAATGCCGTCAAACCTATGAACCACTATATTTATGTGCCTTGTGAAATCCTCCAATTTTTATTTTTTGTCTGTTGGATTAGTACCAACCATAAACTAGCCATATACAGAAAAATAGCTCAATTGGTTGGCAGTATCGATAAACCGGTTGATGAACCACCGCTAGCACCCACCGCGTACTTTTTCCAGACAAAGGTTTTGGTTCAGTGTGTTAAAATACCCAGGATGTCAGTGACGATTGTCAAGTTTTTTCTGTCAAATCTGACGCCAAATGCTATTTTTGGCAATTGGCAACATTCTAATCTAGAATCGGTGTATAATGAGTTACGCCTATAGTCGCTATGTTTATAGTCTGGCGGATAGAATTTAAAGCTATCAAAAAGCAGAACCAATTCAATATATTGTAGACCAACAGTTGAAAAGGTACTATCCACTTTAATAAACAAAACTTCAGATAGTTCGTTCTTCGCAAACCGAACGCTAATTAACAGCATCATCCGTTTGGATTGAAGTAAAGCCAGAAATTTGAGAAAATATTTCTTCTTTAAGAAGACGGGGTAATAAGAAATACATTTTAATTACGCATTTTTGACGAAGGATAACGTCTTTCGGGGGTGCAATTTCAAAAAAACCAAAATCGACCACGTTACGAAAAGAGGTCATTTTTTGACCACTTATAACTCTGTCAATAGCGGATGGATTTAAATTCTAAACAATCCAATCGATTATAAATTTTTCTACGAAATGAACACTTTATCAACTTTCAATAGGTCACTATTGAAAATTACACAAATGTCCAACTGGTGCAATGCTGATCAAAATTATCACCGATTGCCTGCAAAAAGTGGTTTCCCTAACACATTCGCCGAATATTGATACCAAGCACGTAATCCTATGTCAAATCTACGGTCGTGTTTTGGATACAACCTCTTACTTTTTAGAACTCAGTCAAATGTCAACAATTTATTTTTTGTTTTATTATATAAGGGGATTCATACTCATCATTTTCAAACTGAACAAATCCGATAAAATGTTGATGCATCCCAAGAATTGGGTAAAAACTCGTGAATTGATGTTACCGTGATTAGAAATCGAGAGATCCAAAAGGATTTGCTTTATTATCAAACATTGATTACTTCGCACAACATTATACCACACCACACTGCTAACATGGAAGCAGTAACCTTTTGGATATATTACGCTTCCTAGCTGATCCTCCGAGCGTGGTGACCTTTCCGCAGCGATTTATTTTACTCCTCTGGCATTGTATCATCCGCCATGGTTGTGCTGTGGAATGTAAATATAAAGGAAGAAACTCCCGTCGATAACAATAATAAACCAGCGGATGAGATGGTCTCCGGTAACACAAATAATACGCAATATTCATCTGTAGCGGAGATGCCACTGTTATCTATTACCTTTTGCCTCATTTCCTCGCCTTCAGCGTTATCAGATGCTTGAACGCCAGGTGCAGAGTAACCTCCAAGCGATATTTTAAATCTGCGAACTTGATTTCCGTGCTCAGACGAAAATTTCTAACGATATGGATGATCATTATTTTGTTGCTAATCACCGCATACCGAGCACCGATGCAGTTTCTCGAACCCCCGCTGAAAGGCAAATACGCAAACGGGTGCCTTCCGCTCGAACGCTCGGGAGCAAAATTTTCCGGATCAAACTGATCCGCATCCGGTCCCCAAACGTCCTTGCGTCGGTGTAGAATGAAATAATTCAACAAAAAGATGTTCCCCCTTGGAATGCGGCAGCCATCCAGTTCAATTTCGGTCAGATTCTCTCGGGCTACGGTTGATCCCACCGGTGCCAGCCGCATGCTTTCCTTGTAGAATTTGTCCAGAAATGGGAGATCTTTCAACGAATCGACTGTCAGCTCTTGCTCATGGTCAGGTAGTTTGGACTCAATTTCCAAGGCGAGTTTCTCCTGCAGCTCCGGGAACATCGCCAGGAAGAGGCATGTGTGGGCTACCATGTGGGCAGAAGTGTCATAACCCTGGTGGGAAACATTTTCCAATTATCAACATGATTGCTTGATTGAATAACAGCATTAGGGAAGATGCCTACCGCACCCATGATGGTGAGGACTTGTTCACTCAGATTTTGCTCGTCGAAATTGGTTTCGGAATGAGTACCGGATAGAACTTGGTCAATGAATAGCTTGGGTCGCCGAACTTGGTAGCCGTCGTCGGAATCCATGCTTTCAGCCTTTGTGCCAAGAACGCCCCGTCTGTCTTTGATGATCTAAAAATATTGAAAAAAAAAGATACAGAGTTACTCAATAGCCGAACATACAGTGAGGAATCCTCCTTCACGATAAAGGGCGCAAGCTAGGAACGGGTACTAAGGATGCTCACAGCCAGGCATGGAAAATCATTTGCATTCATTTCGTGCATTCATTTACAATCATTTGCCTCTAACTTTTTTCATCAACATCATTCCACAAAATGATGTACATAGCTTTTGTAGGTTTTGTTATTAGCTGCAACTTTTGTTAACAAGTCAAATCCGTATCTCTGATGCATGACGAACCAGAGCGAACAGAATCCACTACTGTTTTTCAGTGAATGTATTTTACATTCACTGAAAAACAGTAACAAGTTCTGCCCGCTCTAGTTCGTGATGCATAAGAGATGCAGATTTGAGTTATGAGCAAAAGTTACCTACAAAATTTCTATACATCAGAGGCAAATTAATGTAAATGAATGTATAAAATGAATGTAAATGATTTTCCATGCCTGCTCACAGCACTTGTAATCTTCGATAATTGGGGCTGTTAGGAATTATGTAATTTGTTTTAACATGTCAACCTTTATTGTCGGAGGAAAATTATGTTGCACTGTAAATCAATAAAATGACCTTCCAATAACCTCCTTCTTTTCCTTCTTCTAGGCTTATGTTTTATAATCAAGCGTTTTTCCAGCCTTTAAATCAAAAATTTAACCCGGAGTTAAAAGCGCCAATTCGAAAATGATTGTTCATTCCCATTTATAATTTGGACGCACATAATGGGTCATTTCTCCTAACATACAAAAACGCTAAAGGGTATCATTTTGTATTTTTTTTTTCCTTTGGTTTGTTTTTTCCGTCGATCTTGTTTTCGTGCTGAGCACCAATGCTACCGACGTGCCAGGAAGGCAGCTCCCACACCTGGACCCTACCTATCGACCCATCAACTCATGAACCGGGAACCAACGGCTTTACTTTCCATCCGAAGGAAGGCGTGATCAGAGATGTTATGCCTCAGGCCTGCTAGGGTGAGAGGTAATCACGCTTACCACTACACCACCGGCACCGTTGTGTATCATTTTGTAGGATTACCAGAAAAAATGTTCGTCAGCATTTCGGATAAACTGGAAACGAACTATTCTCTAAATACCTCCCATCATGTCTTGTAAGTAGCACTGTCAACCTTTTCACCACTTCTCTAAATCAGATGGCGTGTTGATTGTTCTGCCACATTTCTTTAATTTACGTTTGATAATAGCCAAAAAAATTTCGATGGGACGAAAATCTAGACAATTTGGTGGATTGATACTTTTTTCAATAAAATCGAAATTATTCTGCTTATACCATTCAATTACATCCCTGCTGTAATTGTAGATGGCTAAGTTGGGCCAGAACTTTACAGGACCTGCGTGTGACTAAATGAATGATAAAATTCTCCTCTGGAGACGTTCCTCCTTGTAAAGTTGTCCATTAGGGTGCTTCATTCTGAAAAAAGTGATGAATTTCTGATGGGCCACCCTCCAGTTCGATTCATAGCCCCAAAATATGAACCTGTGCAAAAATTGGTAAAGATTGATGAAGGTTTAGAGGTCGCGCCAATGATTTGAAATTTGTATGGGAATTACTATGGAAGAATTTAAAAAATCGCTTATATCGCTATAACTTTGCTTCTACTTGTCCAAATGTCGAAAAAATTTAGTATGTTATTGCTATGGCAATAAACAAAAAGCCTACAGTTGCTACGCTCAGTTTTGCAGCGTATCAAGAATTATAAAAATGTGAAAAAATGGCAAAATAGGGTAAATTGACAGATGAATATGTACAAGGCAACAACGCCAATTTCATCGCAACAACAACAGGCTTGTTGATCATTGTCATGACAACCACATATTTTTTTTTTTCAACGTTTGGACAACTACAACCAAAGTTAGAGCAATGTAAACGAAAATCAATAATTTCCCATACTAATTCACCAAAATCTCCATACAAAATCCAAATCATTGGCGCGACCTCTAAACCTTCATCAATCTTTACCATTTTTTGCACAGGTTCATATTTTGGGGCTATGAATCGAACTGGAGGGTGGCCTATCAAAAATTCATCACTTTTTTCAAAATGAAACACCCTATTGTCCATTAATAGTCGATCCAGTAATGAAAACCTTAATTGTCTTTCCACAACTGCAGATGACTTGCCAAATCATCAACTTGCTAGCAAATTTATCTGAAAAGACAAATTTGAATTTATCCGGAGCATCTCCCTTATGTTTGGCAAGGTAAACATTTGACCCGGAATTTGTCAAAAGTGCAGAATTTTTACACGTCTCTCACCTTCTATCTTCGATAACTTTTGAATATGTTCATAAACTGAATAAACAATCCCTACATATCAAAACGCTGTCAACGATTTCTCGCTACGCCAACTAGTACGCTACAGTAATTAAAAAGATGCGGCCAAATACTAACTGCAACAGACTTTAATTATTTGTTATGGTCAACCATTCACATTTTTGCTGAAATTCGGCCATTTTGGATATTGAAGAAATTTAAAGATTTTGATGGGGAAAAAATAATATAACAGGACATATTTTCAAGATTCATTACTTGGTAGGATAGTTGAGATATTGTGATAAAGAATTTTACTTGAAAACCTTAGAGAAATCTTAAATATTGTTGATCTGGGAAATTGAATTAAAATATCTTAAGTTCGATACCTGAATTCAATTTTCCAAATCACACAATTTGGGAAGTTCTCCTAGCAAAATATATCTTCTAACCTTGTATTGAAATAAATTTTGTGATAAATAGATAAATTGGAAATTTAAGAAAGTGCAAAACATGCATATTTACCATACCATAAAATATTAAGGAAAAAATAAATAAAAAATAAATGAACCAATGCAGTAAAAGCAGCGTCATGTCAGTTCATGCACTGTATTAATGATAATTTTGCCCTTTTTGGCAAGTAGCATTACACCATATTTTCGACACGACTGAAGTCACTTTGATGTGATATTATAAATATTTTTTTGCTGTGTATGTTATGGAAGTTACCATATTTGATTCCATCGTTAATGCAAAAGTAGTTGAGTACACCATCTTCACTGCCATGATACCATGATTCTAATACCACAGAATGTCAAAATCGACATACCAATGACTCTTATTAATCGTTAATCAATCATCTCGCTAAAATCTCCGCTAGGTTCCAATGACTAAGAACCCCATTCAATTTGCGATACCAGATTTTGATATGTATGATACCAGATTTTGATATGCTAGTGGTATGAAACCTTGTTTTGATATTATTCAGTTATCGACAGAATTTGTAAAATATCAAATGAATACCAAAATAACAAAATGTGATTTTCCAGTTTTTAGACAATAACACCTAAAAGAGTTATTGAATTGGTATTACAAGACCTTCAAAATAACAAACTATGGTAATCTGGCATCTTAAAAAGCGTCTGTTATCTGTTTGTTATTGTAATAACTAAATGATTTATTAGTTTGTTATTCGTAGAATATTTTTAAGGTATTATATTTGGTATTTTACCTCTTATGACAGCCTCACTTATTCCATATTTAGGTTGCCAGTTATGCTATTTTCATATCTGAATTTGGTATTAATAAGTTATTTTTTCCTGCTCGGGAATGCTTAGTGAAACGATGTATTGCCTAGTTGAGAAGTTCAAAAAATAAATTCGCCCCCTCCCTATGATTTTACCTTAGTTACGCCAATGAGTATGGCACTAAAGTTCCCTTAGATTCCCAATTAAGTCCAATGGCACATACTTGATGCTCAAGCCCAGCATAACAGGTAGAAAAATATGAGATAATCCATCACAGTCCCAATTTGTAAAAATCCTATTTGATGTGAGTATCCTGGCAACATGAGAGCCCCAGTAACAAGAAATACTGGCATTGAAGAATCCACAAAAAAAATCCTGACTGTACTACAAATGAAATTGGAAATTGCAAGAGATAATCATATGCGTTCGATGCTTTGCACGGGGAAAAGGCAAATCCACCTCGAAGCTCTTCAGGCAATCATGTCATCTCCACTTACCCTAAGAGCAAAATCCAGACAGTTCTGTCGTGCACGATTCTCCTCCTTGTGCCCTTTTGTGAGACAATAGATACTTTCATTGTAAATGCTGACACTTAGCACTCGCGTGGCCACTTTACTCATCAATCTGGAAACAATATTCGTTTCCATTACACTCAAACAACCAGCCAATCGCATCTACACCTACACCTGCATGCTTCGCATGAACTCTCGTTTGCCACTTCCATTCTTCAGACCCGTTCCGAGCGTGGTTCCGCAGACCATTTCCAATGCACACTCGGTAGTAAATTCCAACATGTCAACCGCCGTTCCTTCGGGGCGGGATTTCAAATTCTGAACCAATTTTCTGGAAAACCTTTCAAATATCGGCACGAAGCTGTTCAGTATTTTTGCATTAAACGTTGGGTTCAGTGCTTTCCGATAAGGTCGCCAAAGGGAATCTGCAATGTTGGAAAGGTTGCTTCAAATCTTACTCACTGATATTGCGTCCAACCCGATGCTAACATTTCGCCGAAAATAATCCATGCTTCAACTTGACAAACTCATAGAAGAACGGTTTCTCGCAACAGTTTGGATCGGTTAGAACCTGCTGTATCAAATCCGGATGAGACACGTAGAAAATCAGCTGCGGTCCGAGCCATGCCTTTCCGATCCGATCCACAGTCTGCAGCACTTTCACAAAGTTTTCGAACCGTTGCAGTTCACTTTTACCCAGAAATACCGACGCGATCCCAAGCAAAGGATAACAGGGACGAATCGTTGCGATGGTGCGGGCAAATTTGGCTGCATGATGTTGTCTAGTCGTATCGAGCAATATAATCAGCAGCAGCACTATCACGATTGCTAGCAAAGCAAACATGTTTGGTCACTTGAGTTGAGTACATCGCACTGCAGGGCGATCAATCGAATCGGCAGAATTAAATAGTTGGCCAAGCTGAGAATGTCATTCGCGAATGAGGTTGTCCAAAATGGAATAGCAGTTTGCCATTGAATGATTTTTCCATGCTACTGTGCGCTTGGGAAGGTGCTTTTACCGATAGTCGGTCGTGTTCAATGTTCTCACAGGGATAGAGGTTTGAGATGTGCGTTCTTCTTATTATTATTATTATTGTTATTATTCTTTCTTTTCGTATTTCAAACTTATTGCTTATCACATATTAGCGTATTGCGTGCTAGAAACTTAGTGTTCTAGATAAAGTTCCACAGTCGAGAAATTTTCGAACCCAAAAAATGCCAAGACTGGACTGGGAATCGAACCCAGCCACCTCCAGCATGTTGTTGCTTTGTAACTGTGCCTTTACCGGCTGCGTTCATGTATGAAAAAAAATAAGTTTGTAAAGGTTGGCAATATTTGAAATATTATCCACAATTTAACAGATTACCTTTTGAAGTCGCATATTAAGACATGCAATGCGGTGATAGAATAAACTGGCTAGAGAGGTTTTTTTTCTATAATTTAATAAGTTCAAATGGTATCGATCTAGGACACTACAAGTAGGTGAACATGGCGATAATTTTGTAAATAAATTGTACTGTAGATGATTACATTACATATGGTCATTTCTCCAATTTCTCGACACGTTTGTATTCTGAGTTTCCATCAGATCTGCAATTATTGCATATAGTGGACAATTGAAATACGACATTTTTTTTTTAATAAGGAACCATCACTCCTCAGCAACCTCCTGATCGCCAGTGCTGGCGGGGGAAACGTCCCTTAACGCACCTCATCAACGCTGCCAACAAATGATAAATTGGACTTGCATATGAAGGCTAGAAAAATTTACTGGTTGAGGCCTTAGGGGGGGGGGGGGGGGTAGGCTGCTGTTATGGTTTTATGTTTATGGTTTTATTAAACTACGGTTCTAAAGAAACTCTGGAACTGCTTTTCAATCAAAAGATGTGAAGGCTATTTGTTATTTTATTTTCCTGTTCGATATATTTCCAGCTCGTCCAGTAATTTGACCTATTATGGCAAGGCTAACTGTTATGTTAATGGTGAAACATTAAAATTTATTATATTTATTTTATTAACTTACTGATTTCGAACCAGCAATCATCATTTGTTAAAGCATTTTGTAATCTGGATCTCATAAGGATTCTAAGGATCCACAACTTAAGAAATTTCTCATGTTAGATTATTCTCAGAGTTAAATAATTACATGATTTTGTTCCTAGATTGTTTTTAGATCTTCTATATTTAGTCTGCAATTAAATCTCATAAATAGGTACCAACATTAAACTCTGTGACTTTGAATTTATAATTTTCCAAACTTCTGACAATGTGCACATTTAGGACGTAGCATAATGTTTAAAATACATGTTAATGAACTACTCTTGAGAATTTGAAAGTTAAAATAAACATAGTTTTGAGATCCCAAACCTATATGTTTTCAAAATTTTGTAACTAAAAACTAGATATCTCTTAAATGGATTGTAAGTATAAATTCTTCGAATTCAAATTTAAATAAAAAATCGTGAAATTTGATCAATTGTCATATTTCTAAGACCAAGATAAAATTGCAGATCCTTCCTAGAAAGTAATTTAATAAACATTCTAGTACATGAACATTAAAACAAAAATTGGTAGGGTTGTGTACAAGACACGACCGCATGGCTGACGTAGACTACGTTAAGCGGTGTAGTGAAATTCTCGTGCATTTATCTAGATATTTATTAAAATACAATATGATTTCGGTCCAATGTACATATCTTGGATTTCCTACTTAGTAAAACTTGGTTAAATTCAGGACCTCATAGGTTCCTAAATTACAATCAGATATGAATAAGGCTTTCTTCAGGTGATTCATTGCAGCGTCCAACAATGACTTCAAGATTTCTAGGGCACAAATCTTGGACGGTTGTGACATCACTCATGAAATTGAAACTCCTTGTGATGATGATGATGATGATGGTCCCACTTCTTACCCCTACAAAGGTTTGAGCTGGACGATTTAACTTTAAGATAATTAAATATGACATTTTAACCAGGTTGGCAAACAAAATTGAACTGGTTTCAGTTACAAATATAAATTCCCTCTAGAGTTTACAGTTGCTTCACAGTGATATAAATGTGGAAAAGCTCAGACGTCCACCTCTTAGTTCGCCTTTTTGTCCACCTAAAATATTCAGAAGTATTACAAGCAATCAAGAGTTAATGAACAATCAACAAAGCATCCTATTACACTAGCAACCCCGCAATCTGATGCTATCATAATTTTCAACAATGTCAGGAATGCTCACGAACTCCCAACATTTGCCAGAAAACTTAATACTAACTCAAGGTTTCTTTCAAATAAGCTTCAAAATTGCATTTTTTTTTTTTGACGTAGGACTACGTCTTTGATTTCTATATGGGGTACACTTTGTGAAAACCGAAAATGGAACATGTAACAAATTAAGAAAGATTTTGAACGTTAATAACTCAGCTGACCCTGGTCCAATTTCAATAATTTTATCACCAATCGATCAGCTATATGGCTACGCATCGATAACAATGCTTCCGAATGTTGATTTTCAACAAGAAACTATTGAAAAACTGGTGAATGTCCAGCATTGTCCAAAAGCGTCGAATTAACTAACAAATCCACCAATTACCTACATGCATATGCTGCTTTCCCAGCACAGTCGTCAGAGAGTAGTAAGTAGACGAAACAAGTCGAAGTGACATTCGCCTCCGATCCTTGGGTGCGTGCGAATAGGGAGGATGGAATTGCGTAATATTTTGCACACTCATCGCCATACTCAGAACCACACGCTTCCAACGACCACACCACTGTGTGGTGGTGTTCGGTCGTCGAAATTGGTAGCAGCAGTAGCAGCAGTAGCAGTGCTTTCGGAGTGTGGCGTTAAAAATTGTTCTCCAGTAGCAACGATAGGCTGCCTGCAAGCAGCGAGCTGCAGAGCCCACATAAGTAACCACCAAAGAAGAAGAAGCTGCACCGCTATGCTATGGATCGGAATCAGTAGCACTTCGTGAGTCGCTACGGGTCAGTCATCTATGCCAAGCGTGTCACCCTCGCTCCAAACGACATGCAGCTCGACAGCCTCATCCGTGTTGAACACCCAGCTTAGAATTACTCAACCATCACTACAAAACGGTCCTTTTCAGGGCCACCAAAAATTTGTTAAAGAGTATTATTTGGACATTGGTCAAGGTCATCAGTTCCCGCAAGCAGCTAGCTATCAAGGCTCAACCTGTCTATAGAAGGTGTGGAATTGTAGGCCTGAATATATTGGTGCAATTAGTTTTTCCTCGGCTTTCATTCCGCACGATTCGTTTCTTTCGTTTAATCAATCACCCTTGTAGTGACGTCAAAAAGATTGTTTCAATCGGCGCTTACATATGAAATTTAATGTGGATTATAGAATTTTTTGTATGTTTCCAAAATTTATGAATGGTTTGCCACTAATTGTTGAGATAATTTATTGATTATTGAATTATCACACTGTATACCATGAAAAGCAGCCTGTTTGTGAGTCTTTGCCTGTTTTCAAGTAAGGAGTTATCCTAAAAAACAAATTGCCAGCGGGTATTTCCCGGCGACTTTACAAATAAATAAAATCAAACAAAATCATCATGCAGAACTAGCTAAGATTTGTTTTACTTCATATTTCACAAAATTGCTTTCGAGTGTTAAGACATCGTCTCCCGCAAAGTTTACATTTTTCCCTCTACTAACACATACATCAGGGCTAGATAGATCTCCACAGAATCTATAGAATCCACGCAATTTCAAAAAACCAAAATGCACAGTATTACGAAAAGAGGTCAGGTTTCGACCAATAGCAGATAGATTTTAATTCTAAGCAAGCCAAACGATTGGAAATTTATCTACCAATCTGCTAAAATGAACACTTAGTTAATTTTCAATACGTCACTATTGAAAAATACCAAATGTCCAACTGTTGCAATGGTGATCAAAATTATTACCGAATGTCTGAAAACAGCGCATTCCCTAACACAGACTTAAAAATCGAATTCTATGCGGTCCCACTGAACGGTGCTTATTCAATCACCGTAAGTGGTGGTTTCCAGTCCAGTAGCAGCAGTAGTAGCAGCAGCAGCAGCAGCAGGAGTGCTTTCAACAACAACAACGACGAAAAGCTGCCTGCAAGCAGCGAGCTGCAGAGCTCATTTGAGCAACCATAGAGAAGGAGGAAGAAGTCCCACCGCTAGGCTAGGATCGGAATCAGTAGCTCGTCGTGCTCAGCTCAGCATTACTCAACCATCACTACAAAATGGTCCTTTTCAGGACGACCATAAATTTGTTAAGAAAGAGTATTATTTGGACATTTGTCAAGGTCATCAGTTCCTGCAAGCAGCTAGTTATCAAGGCTCAACCTGGTATCTATATAAGGTGTGGAATTGTAGTATTGGTGAGATTAATCATCGTCCGACCATTTTCCAGAACACGCTGGTAGGAAGTGTTAAAAATCCATATATAATTTGAGAGAAGTTGGAATAATTCGCTTTGGGTGTATATTCAGTCCCAGAAAGCCAATAAAATCAAATTTGTGAGAAAATTAGCTCTCACGAGTTCAATCTCTCGAAGTCCCTCCTTTTTTACATATTCTGCACAAACGGTACTTTCCACCCCGCCCCATTCATATAATTTGGAAGGAAATTCTGTGAGGGGTTAATTAAATACTCTTTAATACCAAAATGCACAAAACTTAAAAATTCATAAATAACAAAATAAAAATCAAAATTTACCTTTTAAAGTCGGGTAGATGAATCGAAAATACTCAAGTTGACAGTCCCTTGGATTCTCTTCATCAACTTTCTCTTTGAAATAAATACTACAAATTTGATACGCTTACAAATAAAAAACGGAAAGAGTTAAGATAATTGATGAT